GGGTCGTGATGGCGCCGGACACTGCTGTCAGCCAAGCCAACCAAATTACTTAATCAAATTCTCGTTTTAATACTTTTGAAATCTAGGATTTTCCTTCAAATTTAGCAGTTTAAAAGATAATTGTCTCAAATCAAATTTAAATGATAAGTAGTTAATACAAAATACTTCAAACCACCCCAGAACCCGGTGTCACAAGTGCATGAGCATCTACAGATAAGGAAATAAAATACAACATCCGTCCGAAATACAGTGGACAAGAAATAAATACAATACACTGGAAGGGACTATACTAGCTGCGGGTCGCCTCGAATAATGCAACTCACCTAGTCCCAGAATCATCCGCGCTGCTACGCCCAGTAGGCCACAAGGGTTATATATACCTGTGCAACAAAAATGCACAGAAGTGTAGTATGAGTACGAAAATAACGTGTACTCAATGAGTATCCCGCCTAACCTCGAAGAAGTAGAGACGAGATGGTCGACTTCGACACTTATTAATGGTCCAATAGTGAGGTCAGTAATACACTAATTTATGGATTTCTATAAACATGATTTTTTTTATCCAAATAGGAGGAAACAAGTAAACAATTAATTCTTTTATAGAAAATTTTCAAAATTCCTTTTCGTAATTATCCAAATAATTTCAAGCCATGAAGAGGCAATAATAACTTAATTAAGTTCAAGGCAGCAATACAAGCATGCGCATATCATGCCGAGGCGACGGCCCGATCCAATAGAAATGTAAACTGTGCACTTGCCGAGGGTCGACGGCGCGCCTATAGATGCATCTATTACCCCGCTCGCGAACTAACCTGCGACGCGGTCAACATAAAATAAACACATACCCTGCTCGCGAACCATGCATGCGACACAGGTACACATAGAGGTACATGCTCAAACAATCAATCAAGAATTATCAGGGGACATTATCCAAATTAAACAAATCTTCTTTTAACAATTCGAGAAAATTGACGTTTAATCCCTTTTTAAATTCATTTACTAATCCAAGGTGATTTAAGCAATTCAAGCTATCAAAGAGGTTCATAAATAATCCAAGTATAACAGGCTGTGGGTCCTAACTACCCGGACAATAGCATAATAGTAGCTACGCACGGACTCTCGTCACCTCGTGTGTACGTAGCCCCCGCAATTAGGAGCACATAATCAATTATTTCACATATGGGGACAATTCCCTCTTACAAGGTTAGAAAGGAGACTCACCTCGCTCCGAAGGTCCATAACCGACATTCCACGCCCTTCCGAAGACTCTAGTTGATGCACCACGCTCCAAAGCTAGCCAACGGTTACGCAAATCCATTAATATATGCTCAATTAATCATTACAATCTAATTTATAGAAGTTCCTAACTCCGATCGAAAAGTTGACCAAAACGCCCTCGGGCCCACGTGCCCGAAATTCGAAATTTTTTCGAAGATAAAGATTACCCATGACCTTAGGAACTCAAATATATAATTTTCACTAAATTCCATACTCAATATCGTGGTCAAATTCGAAGAAATGCCAATTTCTAGGTTTTCCACCAAAACCTAAATTTTTCCATAATTTCCTTGTCTAATTCCATGTATAAACTTTGTATTTAACTCAAAGCTAGCATAAATTACTTACCTCATGATGAGTGACCAAAATGGCACCCCAAAGCTTCTCCCCATTGACTCCAATGGAAGAAAATGGGGTTGGAATGAACCCAACCCCGAATTTTAAAAGACCTCACTGCCTCAGCTGTTTCCGCACATGCGGTCCCTTGACCGCTTCTGCGGTTCCGCAGGTGCGATTAAGATGCCGCATTTGCGGTCCTCCCTAGGCCGCCCTCTTTCGCTTCTGCGATACGCCTTCCGCAGATGCGGTCCCGCTTCTGCGAAACTCTGACCGCATCTGCGGTCCACTCCAAGCCGCTCACTTCCGCTTCTGCGACCACCTTTCCACAGATGCAGTCCCGCTTCTGCGGAACCTTGACCGCATCTGTGATCCTCAAGCCTTTGACCAAAAATCGCTTCTGCGGCTCCCTTTCCGCTTCTGCGGTTAACCCACCGCAGAAGCGAAAATAGCAGCAACCAGATCCTTCAGCCCTCTTCCAAATTCTAAATTCGATCCGTTAACCATTCGGAATCCACCCGAGGCCCCCGGGACCTCAACCAAACCTACCAACCAATCCTAAAACACGCTACGGACTTGCTCAAGGCCTCAAATCACATCAAACAACGCTAAAATCATGAATCGACCTCCAATCCAAACTTAATGAACTTCAAAATTTCAAACTTCAATTTCCGATGTTTAAACCTATCAAATCACGTCCGATTGACCTCAAATTTTGCGCACCAGTCATATTTGACATTACGGACCTACTCCAACTTTAGGAATTGGATTCCGACCCTGATATCAAAAAGTCCACCTCCGGTCAAAGTTCTCAAAAACCTTCAAATTTCTATCTTTAGCCAAATGGCTCCAAAATGACCTACGGACCTCCGAATTCACTTCCGATCGCGCCCCCAACTCCAGGATCACCATACGGAGCTATTCACAGTCTCGGAATCCCAAACGGACATTGATAACACTGAAATGTTCTTCAAGCCAAACTTATGAAATTTCTTCTAAAATGCTAACTTCCACAATAGGCGCCAAAACGCTCTCGGGTTATCCGGAACCCGAACCGGGCATATGCCCAATTCCGAAATTATCATACAAACCTGTTGGAACCTTCAGATCCTGATTCTGAGGTCGTTTACTCAAAATTCCATTCCTAGTTCATTCTTTCACTTTAAGCTTCTAAAATAAGAATTCTCTTTCCAAATCAACTCTGGACTTCCCGGAATTCAATTCCGACCACGCGCACAGGTCATAATGCCTGAAATGAAGCTGTTCATGGCCTCCGACTGTTGAACGGAGCGCTAGGGCTCAAAACGACCGGTCGGGTCGTTACAACTCGCTTCCATGCACGTATTCATATATGAGATTTCGTAACTACTATCACCATTGTGTTCGAGGACCAATTGAACTAGAATAAGAGCCACATCACCTCTTATATTTATTCGTTATTCTTACGAAAGTAATAAATCACTAAATATTGGATATGTTTTTGCTTTTATAATATTTGTTAGCTGATTTTTCAATTTGATGTCATTAATATAATTCTATAAAGAATATATTTACCGTCTTTATTCTTGTTAATTTAAAAGAAAAACTTGTAGTACTTGATGGGAATCACCTTACAAATTTCATTACTTGTTCACAAAACGATTTATCAACATCCAATTCTTTTGATTGGTAGCAGAATTTTACTAAAGCTCTAATCTTCTTCCCTAAAAAGATTATTCTTTAGATGACATTTGATTTTGCATAATAAATGATTTTAAATTTGAGTCTTACCTAATCCTTTTGGCAAAAAATTATGATAACTCATATAAATAACTATTTTTAACTGTCATAATATTTGAAGATTGATTTTCGTTTGTTTTTTTCAGAGGCCAAAATCTACTTTTTGATCCATATTATACAATCATTAACCTATGAGTTCAGTCGAATTCAATTTGTAAAAGTAATTAAATTTAATCTAGATTTGTAACGACCCGACTGGTCGTTTTGAGCAATTGCGGCCGGTTCGGCAGTTTGAGGTCATGAGCAGCTTCATATTATGTGTATCGACTTGCATGCGCAGTCCGGGCGTGAAACCGGAAAGCTTTTATGTGAAAATATGAGAAATAGAAATTTTTAGAGTTGAAAATTTGGTTTTAGTTGACTTTGGTCAATATTTTTGGTAAACGGACCCGAATCTGTGTTCCGATGATCCTGGGAGGTCCACGGTAAAATATTAGACTTAGGCGTATGCCAGGAATTGAATTCCGAGGTCCCTAGCCTTAGAAAATAATTTTTGAAGAAAATTGTTGTGCTGGTTTTTAAAGAAAATAAAGAAATGAATTAATGTTTGAACTTGTTGGTATCATGCCCGTATTTTGGTTCCGGAGCCTGGTACAAGTTTGCTATGATATTTAAGTCCTATTTGTAAAATTTGGTGAAAACCGGAATTGATTTGACGTGATTTGGACGTCCGGTTGAAAAATTAGAAAATTTGAATGTCCTTGAGAAAATCATGAGTTTTGAGGTTAAATTCGTAGTTGTTGATGTTATTTTGATGATTTGATCGTACGAGCAAGTCCGTATTATATTTTTAGACTTGCGTGCATATTTGGTTTGGAGCCCCGAGGGCTTGGGTGAGTTGCGGACAGGTTTAGGCTATGTTGCGCTTGTTTTTGGATACTTCATCGTCGTTTCTTCAAGAAAAAATAATACCACATTGAGCAAATGAGATCCAAATTTAGTTTTTATTGAACTATTAGATCCGTATCAAAATTACGGAGCCATAGGAAAAAGAATCATCGAATTTGGACATCGTATGAGGAAGTTATGCTCATTTTCGTGTCGGGAAAATAATAACTTCATCTTTTCTTGTTGAGTTCCTAGTTGGTTTAGAAACTGAACTCTACTTTATGTTATGTAAATGAGACTCCTTAAACATCTTAATTGCATTGGTTATGGACCCTATGTACTGAGTAACATGGGAACATCGTTGCGCAAAGTGAGATATAAATATGTGGGTACGAGGTGTCGGGTGTGCTAAAGGTTTGGTAATTGAGGTTATGATATGAGACATCGAATTTGAGATGGCTAGAATTGTGCATCAGAAATGATATGATTTATTGAGTTGACATCGCCTTACTTGTCTGTGTCCCAGCTATGTTGGTGTTAATTTACTTGGTTATCTTCGTTTCCATCCGTGTTTCCCTTTATTGTTTCTACTGTTTGTGGTTTGAGTTTCTCCCTATTGCTGATATTACCTTGTTATCGCATCTCGATAGTTTATCATTATATCCTGTTCAGTTTATTTGACCAGTAGGTGCCTTGACTGTTCCTCGTCACTACTCCACCGAGGTTAGTCTTGATACTTGGTGTGCTCATACTACACTTCTGTACATTTTTGTGTACAGATCCAGGTATTTGGTCAATAGTAGCTGCATGGATTGTCGCAGCGGAGACTCAAGGTAAACCTGCTGCTGCATTCGCAGGCCTCGGAGTCACCTTCAGTTGTACTTATTTTCATTGGTTCCTTTTGTTTCTATTAGTAAAAATACCAAGATTACTACTTTCAACATCAATATTAATTTGAGTTATACCTTCAGCAAGGAGATCGTGAATAATCACTTGCAATTCCTGGACTTGGGTAATAACAGACTTGCTATCTACCATTCTGTAGTCCAAAAACTTTGCAGCAACAAACTTTTTCAACCCGGCATCTTCGGTTTTGTATTTCTTTTCAAGCGCAGTCCACAGTTCCTTTGACGTTTCCACGCCACTGTAGACGTTATACAAAGCATCCTCCAGCCCGCTTAGAATATAATTCTTGCACAAAAAATCTGAATGCTTCCACGCCTCAATCACGAGAAAGCGTTCAGTTTCTGGAGTTTCGTCGGACAGCACAGGAACATCTTCCTTGATGAACTTCTGGAGACTTAGAGTAGTCAAATAGAAGAACATCTTTTGCTGCCAGCGCTTGAAATCAATCCCGGAAAATTTTCCGGGTTTCTCCGCCGGTGCCAATGCTGCCGGTGTCGTTCGACTTGTTGAGGCATTGGCAGTCACCATTGGAACAGCTTGGTTCTCATTTTCATTAGTCATTTCTGTAAAAGAATGACACAAACGTTAAAATCACATAGATTTTAATAGAGTACAAAACCACAAAGTTTTTACTCTTCCAGAAACAGTAAGTACAAATACAGAAATCAAATTAAATTCCTTAAGCTTGTTAGTAGACTGTATTTGTAAAATAATTCTGGAAATATAAATGAGTATAAACAGAAATGAACATAAACAGAAATGACATAAAACCAATTCGAGCCCACTGAATTCACAGTGTTTCCTTAAGGAATTTAATCCCCTCCTAGTACCCAAGGTTATGGATTATTTCCTCCCAGGATAGAACGAATTACACACTGGTGTAGTGGTACTTCAAACCCCAGTGTTTCAGCGAACACAAAGTTCGGTAGCAAATCACACTTACTTTTTGCTTTGTTTGATGCTAAAAGTATGCAGAAGAAGGAGAAGAAACTCAGAAAATCGTAGTGAAATTCTGAGCAGAATAGTGTTGTATTTATAGCCAAAGTTAGGCTGAAATCTGAAGAGGTGCAACTCTTCAGAATGGCTGTTTATGCAAAACGCCCACAGCATAAATGCCATTACATAAATGGCCATTTACTCAATAATAAAGAGGGAAAATAAAGAGGGAAAATTGAAGAGGGTAGTTACTTTTCTGTTACCAAAACAGAAAAACGGATTGGATTTAATATTAATATTTAATATTAATATTTTGTTATTAAAACAAATATTTAATAACATTTCTGTTAATATTTTACTATTAACAAATAAATTTGGTCCAAAAAGTTAATCAATCAATCGATCATTTGACCAAATCCAAATCCGAATCCGAATCCGAATCCGAATCCGAATCCGAAGCCGAAGCCGAAGCCGAAGCCGAAGCCGTAGCCGAAGCCGAGCCGAGCGAGCGACGACGACGACGGCGCGAGGCTTGCCTTCTTCTCAACTCTTTAAGAGCTAGAAGAAGAGCAATTGCTTATATACCCATAAAAAACCTCTTCCTCTTCCAATATGGGACAATGCCCATTTGCCAAGGGGGGGAACTTAAAATTTCACTCAAAAATTTTATTTCCCTCCATTTCCCATTCACCCTCTTTTAAGTATTTAATATATTAATTAAACACATCCAAAACCCAACATATATATATACATATATATATATACACACACACTAATGTTCCATTAGGTACTGCTGTCGTTAATATTCCTGGTTTCGCATGGACGTGCCTGTGTATATGTGTGTGTGTGTGTGTATTCTATGCTAGCAAATATTAATCCTAAGTTCCTTTTCTGTTCTATTTTGTTTCTACCTTCTCTTGTCAATATTCTGGTGCATTTTGCTTTTGCTTAATATGTTTTCTTTCCTGCTATTTTCAGTATGCAATTCTTTCAGAAAACAATCCAAGGCCAAAAATATCAGAAAGCGTCCTACGCTTGAAGAGGGGGAGAATGAAGATGCAGAAGGTGAAAGTTCAGTCATATATATGAAGAAAAAGCCAGCAATTGCAGATTTTTCTACTGGACCTCCAAAGTGTAACAAGGCCCCTCTTTTTTATTTTGAGTCCCCAAAGGAAATTACAGTTCAAAATGACAGTAGAGCAACAGCATCTTTAGAAACTGAGACTGAGTTCTCTAAAGATGCTCGGGCCATTCGAGAGAGGGTTCTAAAGCTGGGTGAGGAGGCTATAAAAGGAAAATCTAAGAGCAGCGGTGATCAACCACTATACAAAGGGATGAATCAATACACTGATTACAAAGCTGGTTTAAGAAGAGAACATACAATTTCCAGTGAGAAAGCTTGTGGCGCGCACGGTCCTCTTAGGGCTTCTGCCCACATCAGAGTTTCAACGAGGTTTGACTATCAGCCAGATATATGTAAAGACTATAAAGAGACGGGATATTGTGGATATGGGGATGCTTGCAAATTTCTGCTTGACCGGGGAGATTGTAAGTCTGGGTGGCAGCTTGAAAAAGAGTGGGAGGAAGCTGAGAACGAGAGGAAAAGAAAATTGGCTATGGGGATGCTCGATGAGGATGGTGAGAATGCAGAGAAGAGTGATGAAGATGATGACAACTCTTTACCATTTGCTTGTTTTATCTGCAGACAGCCTTTCGTTGATCCCGTCGTGACCAAATGCAAGCATTACTTCTGTGTGCATTGTGCATTAAAGGTAACATTGACACATTCTTCTTTTGTTTGCTCGATCATGTCATAGAATCGGTGAACGACAACCCCTTTATGTACCTAGTCCATTTCTCTTGTTTTAAACCTTTTCCTCTTGTTTGAAGTGACAATAGAGTTTATTCCCTCCCCCAACCCTAACCACCTGAAAAAAGGAAAGCTAGCAGAGTGGAAATGTGAGATGGTTTTAAAGGACTTTCTTGGTGCCTAATGCCCTCAATATGCCCTTTTCCGTTTTTCTTGCTAGTTTCTTGGCTATCCAATGCAACTAGGGACACGAGAAATTTTGTATATCTGATGTAGAGGAGATATTAGCACTAGGATATGAAAGTAGCAACTACTTGGCTGGAGTTACTACTGAAGCAAGTGGTGCCTTTTTTCTAAAGTAAAAGCTGCACCTTGTATTGGTTGGGCTTCTGGCGAATAATAGAGACTGCTGAAATCAATCTGAGCTACAGTCACCTCGCACACACAATTAATTATTTCAGTTCTATTTTCTACTGTGTTTGATTGCAAGTTAATATTTTTTGTTGTTGTTGTGGTTAACAGCACCATGCTAAGAACAAGAAGTGTTTTGTATGCAACCAGCCAACCCTTGGGATATTCAATACAGCACTTGAAATACGCAAGAGGATGGCGGTCCAAGGAAAATGATGGATCTTCTTAGGATAAAATTCAGTTTCAAGCACTTTTTGGGGGCACTCTGCAACAGCGTGCAGCTTTGCTGTTATTGATCTGCGACAGTCATTGTCAACCCATTAGGCTTTCTTCGGATTCTGTTAAAAATTCTAGGAACAGATAGAATCATAGATTTACTTTAGTTAGCAAATTGTTAGATTCTTTCGAGTGGTCAACTATTTTGACGTGGTTCTGATATTAGTTTCCAGATTTGGTGTATGATTAGAAAGAATACATCGTGCCGAACTGTATATAATCAAATTTATATAACTGTCAATAAGTTTTGATTTGTACATATATTGAAATGTTATTCTTGGTCGGTGTTTTAAAAGATGGAGACGTGAGGCGGGGCATTTTATTGATGGAACTTTAAATTCTTAATAAATTAGTAAAATAGCTTAAATAACACGAAAATTATAGAAAGCACATTAAAATTTTAAGAAAATTATAAGGATTAAAAGAAACTTATAGAAAATAAAATATCTAGCATGCTTTTATGAGTATAAACAATGTAATAGTGTTATGAGATACTAATCTACTATAATTTCTTAATTGCCTAACAATCAAAAAAATATAGTTTCGTAAAAAATATATCAAATTACATATTTTACCTCCCTAAAAGTAAATAATCAATAAATTGTATCAATTATAATTTAAAATATTACTCCTTCATAAATAAATATAAAATTACTTTCAAATAGCAACATAATAAAAGAATGATAATCCATAGAGATATAGTACTAAGACATGCAATACTATGGCTCGTTAATTGAGTTATTCTCAATCTTCATATTTTTTAGTTAAAAATACAACATTCATCATTTGTTAAAGAATTTTGAGGGTCAACCATACTAATTAGATAATTCAACGTATGATTTGCTCATGAACTGTCAGGCGAGCCCGAGCCTTATGCGCTAGGTGTGTTTAAGGTGCACATTCGACCTTTTAGGATGTAAGCCTCACAAAATCACGCTTTGACCTTTGCATATAAAATATGATTTTCCGGCGTAGGAGGCTCAGACTATCTAACCCTTTAGCTCCAGCCATGATTGTGGCATAGTAGCTTTTAGAAGGCTGAGATTCTTTTTATCCCTCATGATTTCATACCAATTTAGGAGTATGTACAATCATAGTACATGATATCATTGCATTTTCAATCCTCTTTTGCAAGTTGTAAGTTGAAAGAGGAATGCATCTTTATATCCTCAAAAATAGAAAATCAAATACGCCTACGAATTATACATGACACTTGTATTTACATAAGCCGGTATCACTTAACTATAGTAAATTAATAGACATTCTTACCTCAATTTTATCATTGACTATGGCAATACTAATATAGTTTAGTGTAAACATCGAGTTTCTGTAACTTTTTTTTCGGACAACATGCTTTTTAGGTTTTGTAAATTTGTAAAACATGAATTCTCCTCACACACACACCCAAAAAAAAAATATCTCTAATATTAGTACAGTCAGACCTCTCTATAACAACATCCATATATAACAGACATTCACAATAAAAATCAAGTTTTTCTCAGAATCATTTTTTATATTATGTTATAATATAGGCCGATGCCTTTGCCGTGTCTTAAACTCCGACTCCTAAACTCAAAACTGGCCGGAAATGGCCATTTTGAGCTTGCTCAGGCGGATGTTTCTGCTGATCTTGACTTTACAAATTGTAAGTTTCTGTCTTTATTGTTCTCTATAACAACACTTCACTATAGCAGCAAAAAAATATCGGAACAAACAAAGTTGTTATAGAAAATTTGAATGTGTTCTTTACCGCATTGTTACATACATAAAAGAAAGAAAAGGCAGAAAAGAAAAGCATACAACTTGTTCAAATTACATTTTTAAATAGCCTCTATCTTCTTTTTTGCTAGCTAGAGTTATGTAGCATCATGAATGATTTTTCGTGAAGATCTTTCTCAATTGGGGTCTGTTTGATAGGCAACTTTCTATTGATAGCAAATTCATTCTATTACAAGGTTTCAATAAGTACAAATTGAATATTCTTTGGCCCATTCTAGGCAACTTTAAAGGGAAGGGATTGCTTATTTTGGTGGTATAATCAACATGACCAAATGAGAAAGCTTGGAGAAAACAAATAGTAAAGAGGAAGCATACAAAAAGTTGACATCTTTGAAGTAACTTCAATGTTTTCTCCACCTTTTTATTTTCTTTTTTTATTTTATTCATCCCTTTTTGGGGTTCCTTTTTGTAAATATTAAACATTAATGTGGCTTTGGAGTTGATATGAAACTTCTACGAAAGAAGAATAAAAGGGCAGCCCGGTGCACTAAGCTCCCGCTATGCGTGAGGTTTGAAAAATGACCGGACCAGAAGGGTCTATTATACGCAGTCTTACCCTGCATTTCTGCAAGATCTCTTGGTCACACGGCAATAACTTTATCAGTTACGCCAAGGCTCCCCTTCTTCTACGAAAGAAGAATATTTTTCTATATTCATTACTACAAAAATGGATCATGGGTATGGTGGTTTTGATGCTTCCACATAAAACATAGAAGAATTAACCCAAATAACCGTCCATCCAACCAATTAAATTAAAAAATAATAGATGACGAATATATATATATATATATATATATATATATATATATATATGTGTGTGTGTGTGTGTGTGTGTGTGTGTGTGTGTGTTTAATTATACATAATCACCATATAATCTATGTATACTGGCTAGGAAAAGTAAACGGTGAACTCGGCCGGATACTGTCGAAGCTTATCAAAATATTGAAAAGTAATTTCAGAAAATCTATTTGGACCCCATTTGTATATTGGTTTCAAAGTTTTGGGAGGATTTAGAAGTAGTAATTTGATTACTATCTAAGGTTTCTGTATAATTTTAACATGTAAAAACTAAAAGATAGCAATTGCATTTCTTATAGTTTATATGACATAATATACAAATAACTTCGGAAATATATATGACACCAAACCAAAGATCCAACGACAATAATCAATAGATAAGTAAATGTTAGCAGCGAATTAAGAGTTGCAATTCAAGTTTATTCATACTTGGAAAATGTTTAAAACTTAAATGACCAGCATAAGATGGAAACTAATATTATTAGTTTTAAGGAATTTCTTAATAAAATTAATAAATTTGGCTATTTTCGTTTTTTCTTAACTTGAAAGTTAAATTTCACGCACTAAATTTAATACTCATAAAGGTTACAAAATATTTTATTTTGAGTTGATCACTTTAGATATTTCAACATGAACACATGACACTTTTTTTTTTCTTTTGTAAAAACAATAAATTAATGGCATTCGAAACACAATATGATAATTATAAGATTTGCTTAGATTTTGCCGAGTGCCCCTTGTATGTAACTATCCTTGGCGTGCATGGTTCGACCAGAAATGTTAGTTAAAATAGCACGGCTAGCCAGTTTTCGGATTGGTCATTCAAAAATAGTTAGTGTTTGCCAAGTAACTAAAAAATAGCCACTATTTTGCTTCAACAGAGATCGGTCCAGCATAATATACTGGAGTTCGGTGCACGTGTGTATGAACTTCCAGCATATTATGCTGGACCGGTATACTTTGCTGGCTCCAGTATAATATACTGGAGTATTTTCCAGATTTTTTGAACAGTGATTTCTTTCAGATTTATCTTTACATGAAAAGTGGCTAAATTTCGATGGCTTTTGAAACTGTGGCTATTTTTGAATGACCACTTGTAAATCTGACTATTTTTAAATTTCTTAATTGCGAAATGTTATGCTTACAAACAAGATTATTATTCTGCCCAAAAAAAATTCGAAAATTACTTTAGGACGATTGACGACTCTTCACAGGGGGTTACTGCAAAAGGCCTTCGTAAAGAAAAAAACTTTATCCCAACGAATAGGAGATATATTTTTTTAATTTTATTCGAACGATATTAATAGTATCTATTATGATGATCATATTAAAAATGAAGTGTCACAGCTAACTGATAGTTCTTATATCCTAGTACAATAAAAAGATACATGTTACTATATATATCTTACGTTTCCCTTCCTCAATGGCGGATGGAGACATAAGTAACCAAACATGTTTAATATAGAACATAAAATTATATGTGAAAATCAATAAAGCTCTAATAAATAATAAATTCTGAATTCATAATTTTAAGATTGTAATAGTTGAACGACCCGTCAAATTAAAATTTTGAATCTGTCTCTGCCCTTCCGGACAAAAGGTAGTTCATGCCTCACTAGCATCGTCCATGATATGCCTTAATTGGTGCCAAACTTTACCATTTTTAATGCCATCGTTGCCTTAATTAGTGCCAAACTATTTCCATTTTGAATGCCAACATCGATCCGCAACGCTGCCTTGGCTCCTGAACTGAAGGCAATTAACTTATACTATGGATGCCCAAGTGTTTATTGACATACTTAGGTCCCACCGATTCTTTATTATACATTCAAAGCCCTATATATAACAGCCTTGTTTGTTCCAAATATTTTTGGACGTTATAGCGAAGTGTTGTTATAGAGAACATATATTATAACATAACATAAAAATTGGTTCTGGAAAGCTTGGCTTTTATAGTGAGGTGTTGTTATATGGGGATGCTGTTATAGAGAGCTCTGACTGTATCATGCATGGTGCTAGGGGCAAATTTTTTAGAGTGAAAATAGCATGGACTAGCTAGTTTTTGGACTGGTAATCGAAAAATAGTCAGGTTTTGCAAAGTCATTGAAAATTATTTTATGTGGAGATACAAAAATACTCTAGGTGAAACACGGAAAGTTCCAACATAATATGCTGGATTATACAGCTCCTACGTATAAACTTCCAGCATATTATGTTAGAAACTCCAGCACATTATGAAATCTCAGCACATTATGCTGGAATATTTTCCTGCATTTTTAAGTTAGATTTGGGATGAGTGCACCTTAATTGTCCCCCTAAAAATTAGATTTCAATTGCTCTACCGACGATCCCCAATTTTTAGT